CGTTGACAGAGAGGAGAAGGTAGAAATGACTCAGCCTGTGACTGAAAATATGGATGGAGGACCTCAGTTTAGCTTGTTTGTCGCGCAAGCACCGAGCTAATACATATAAGGCAATATAGTGTCAGTGCTAAAGCTAACAGGCTAAGCTGAGATTCTTCTTCCATGAAGCACTCCAACACAGTTGAGTGTCAAATTAACACTCATAGGAKGTATATGAACCTCCAGTGTTAACCATCAACTCAATGTAGTGTTGAAAAGCATGAGAAGAGTTGATTTGTCACCATATTGGAGTACCTTATTATCTCTGCTTAGAATCATATTTACTCATCAGTTATTTGACTTGAAGTGTTGAGTTTTATTAACACTGTACAGTGTAACCACTAACTTACACTACATGCGTTCCGTCTCCGCTCCAGTCCGACCTCCGCAGAAAATACACACCCATTATAATCAATGAGAGTGTTTACACTGGCTGCGGTGAGCGGACGGCGATCCGTCAAAATTAGAACGGATCCTATTTCTGCCAGATGACGGAGCTGCGCCAAAGTCAATTTTTAAGGATTACGTCACACCAACAGGAAAAGAAACGAGCACAACATCCGTATTTTCAAAATAAGACACTATTCGGCAGAATGATTTTTCAGAATGATGTCAAAATTGCGGCTATATTAATAAATATATGGATATATTTCTACACACATGCTGTCAGAATGTATCGTTCTGTTTGGGAAGCAGATGGAAACGTGTAGCATGAAGCATAGGTGTACACACACGATACACGTGGACTTTATTTTGAAATCACAAGTTTCAGAAAGCTGACAGCGAGACAGTTTCAACATAGATACAAAAAGCCTTTATATCGTTGTTTTCAGCTGTGTTTGGAGTTTGTCTTTCACAGAATTAATGATTTTTTGCTGTGACTTCCACATTTATCACTGGATTTATCGCGCGATCTGCTTCCTGCACGTCTGTCGGAGCGGAGGTAGTGTAAACTGGACTTGAAACGGTGCAGCTGCGACCTGCGCAGCGCAGCGGAGACAGAACACATGTAATGTAAATTAGGGGTTACACTTGTCTCTTCAAATAAACAATAAATGAAATGAAATAAGGAAGCCCTATAAACAGTGTACTCTTACACTTTACAATACGGCTCCTTTGATAGTTGTGAATATGAGACGATATATAAATAAACTGATCTGAATTAACGTTTCATTCAGGACATATTTTGCTAACAGTTCAGACAAAACGTTCCTGCTGAGCTCCTGATGAGAAGCAGAAAATCATCTCATACAAAGTGATGAAGACGAGCAGAAACCAGCTTGATGATAATATACATTTTAATGTTTTTGCATCTAACAGTGAAGCAGGAACAGAAGAAATACTGACATCATCCAAACATCTCCCTTCTACTGCACCTCCATCCTGCAGGAGCAGCACCTCCTCTTCCTCCATCCTGCAGGAGGAGCAACTGCTGACACATCACTGTTGAAAAGGCCAAACGTTTGCAGCAGAGTCTCTGCCAGTCTCTGTCTCCTCCTGGTGTGGACCTGCTCGGACACATCACACGTGTCACGGTGTCTTCATTCAGTAAAAAAATCAAGCAGTGTTTGTTCAAGGCATCATCTTGTTAGTAACAGATATGGTCAGGGTTTCAYGCTGAACCAACACCTCATGGGTCTGATCACAGACGTTTGGGTTCTCTGATGGGACTCCAGGGGGGGACGCCGTGTCCAACACATATACAATGTAAATAAAAACAAAGTGCAGAACTGAAAATCTGTAAACAAATCCTGTTGAAACCAAGACTCAGAGTCTGCAGGTGGTTTGTCGGCTGCAGATGAGTCAGAAACATTGCTCAGGTCAGGATGTTTCAGTGGTCTGACTCTGAGTCTGAGCTCCATCAGGGCAGGAAGTCCCTGCAGGTTCTGCTCCCTCCAGCCTCTTATTTTMATAACTTTTAACCTTTTAATGAAGACGACTGGTCAAAATCCCCAGGAGGACTTCGCAAAAGTTCGACACGAGCGAAAATGAAAATCGGCCAAAATTTGACCTTTGAGCCAAAATGGCCGACTTCCTGTACATTTTAGGCTATACCTACAAAAGACTTTTTAAATTATTTTGTTGAGTTCTACCTATGTGTTGAATTTCAGCTCTCTAGGACTTACCAGTTCCTCTATTTCACTTTAGGTGGYGCTGTGGTGCTGTTTGGCCACGCCCACTTTTGATTCCAATGAAATCCTGCTGCTTCACGTGGGGGACAACTTTTGGCCAAGTTTGGTGAGTTTTTGACTATGTTCTAAAATCCTACCAAAAGTGGCGGAATAATAAAAATAATAATAAAAATAAGAAGAAATTCCGCGATAGATTAATTTTAAGTTAAAAAATGTAATTAAATTTAAGCTGCTAGCAGTATTTGGCGGCTCTCGCAGCCGTGTGTTGACCACAGAGGAGCTGGTATTTCCAAAATAGACAAGTTTCTGTATCTTTTCAGGCTGGAAGGTTCTGGAAAGTTTCAGCAGAACCCAGAAGCTCAGCAGCCTGGCTTCAACCAACCAGAGGCTTACTGCACAAAAATCAGATTTATAAATTCAGGATATGAGCTGTAAGCTGAGCTTGAACTAGCCTTCAACTTGTAAACAGCTGTAATGTGTTGCTCTAACACCAAGCTGCGCTCAGTTAGGGTGATTCATTCAAGCAGCTGTAAATGGTTTAGGACAGGGGTCTGCAACCTGCGGCTCTGGGGCCACACGTGGCTCTTTGGTCCCTCTACAGCGGCTCTTTGAAAATGTGACCAAACATAACAAAATAAAGTGTTTTTGTTTTTATACCCACAACAGAAATCAATTTGTAAGCAAATACGTGATCAATACTACTAATACAAAAAGTAAAACATGTTAGCTCATGCTAGCTTGTTTACTTAAATAATCCAACTTTTGTCTTTCTCTCAAATCCAGAATTACCTTTAAAGAATATTAAAAACTACATAATAAGAATTAGAAAAAAAATAAGCCTGAATAATTCAGTTGTAGTATTTTTAATGAAATTAGGTATAAACTATATAAAGTATTTTTCTTGTTTACATGAATAGTCTTTATTTGTCCTGATGGGTAAAAATAATAATAAAAAATAAAATTCACAATATATTTTTTAGTTTTATAATGTCACCTCCACTGGCCGTAAAAGTTCCAGATAAGGCCTTGAAAAGGCCCACAGACCACCAGTTGAAAATCACAGTTGTGGCTTATTTTGTGGCTCAGGACACATTTTATTACTGCGTCAGTAGCAGAAATGGCTCTTTTAAATGTAAAGGCTGCAGACCCCTGGTTTAGGATTAATACACGTTCAGTTTGTTTACTAGACCCATCAGGTGGATCACAGATTTCCTGATCAGACATGTGCAGTAAGACACGTGAGTCTCACTTCCTCCAGCAGTTTAATGGTTAATTATGATTCATATGAAGAGAAACACCGACTGATGCTGAAATAATTTCAAGCTCAGAAATATTAACAGATTAAATAAAGTTCACTTTAAACCTGATCAGGTTAGTTTCAGAGAACTTGTTACCACAGAAACAGAAGAGCTTCCTGTGTCATGCAACCGATTCAAGGCTTAATTAATTCAGGTTTACACCTAAATCCTGGCTTAATCCCGTATCTTAGTTTTGTGCAATAGGCCTCTGACCTCCTCATCTGAAAACACCTGCTGCTCCATGAAAACAAGCATCCAGCACAGACGAGCTGAGACCACAGAACCAGAACCAGAACCAGACAACATGCCCTCTACAACCTGTTGTTCGAAGAGGAGAAAAACCCTGGAAGGAGGTGTTATTCATTAAATAAACTTGTTTTATACTGTTTGAAAAAGTTCAGCATTTAATCTGTTTACAACGTTCCGCTGTCACTCAAACATGGATTTATAAATCACTGCATCCTGTTTTTATCTGTGACCCATCATATCGAAATGAGGATTAAATCAAATTAGGTCAAAATGACCTAATTACATKGTCAGATTCTTGGCTTTAAAAGCTACATTTTGACACCTGGATCATTCTGATTTCATAATTAAATCCATAAATATGACTTAATTTGTCTTGTTGGTTACAATAATACATAAATATTTGGTCTGAATACTAATTTGATGTCATTTTAATGAGGAATATTTGATGTCCTTTTAAAGAGGAAACCTCAAATTATATTTGAATATTGAGATTTCCCAGCTGAAAAGAAACAAAACTTTGCTACCTCACAAGGAAAAATTCATCATTTTAAGGCGTTTTTCCTCAAAATCAGTTTTTTTTGTTGCTACTGCTCAAAAAATTGATTCAAAATGTTGTTTTATGATTATATTTCAGACAGTTCATTCAAATGATACATTAATAAGGCTTTTATTCATTATATTTAGACAAAATGCAATTTTTGTTAACATTTTAGTCAAAACACTATATTTGCCTTTTTCTCCTTATACAACTTTTGGACTTAATCCTGGTTTCGATGTGACGGGTCACATTTACATTTTAAATCAGGCTTGTACACAACGTTCAGTAACTATTTATTTGAATGGAATGGAGGGTTTTTACTTCACTAACTCAAAGCTCAGTGGCTTTATGCTGAAATAAAAGGAGTTTTAAAGCTGCTGTTCCACAGTTTGTCCACCAGGGGGCAATAAAAACACTCATCATATCTAATTTATTTGAAGTATTTCAGCAATAAAAGAACAAACTGCAGAAGCTTTGTTTGACTCTCAGCCAGCAGCTTAAAGTCACTGATTTAATGTGGACAATTAAAAACAGAAATAAGTTATTTCTGTTCCTCCCTGGTCCAGAACCAGTTTCTGATGGTCCGATTTAAAAAAACACAACATGAATGATGCTCTGAAAGGCTGCCTGACAGGACAGTGAAGACAAAAGGCATTATGCACACACACTTGTATTTCTATTCTTATTAGGACCATTCATTCATTTCCAGTTGTTTCTACAGCCTAACCCCGACCTTAGCTCCACCAGATTAGGACCAGTCTTTGGTCCCCATAAGGACTACTGATCTTAACAAGGTAGGTGTGTATACAGAAACTGTCCAATAGAGACAACAAATACACACACACACACACACACACACAC